TGTTAGAGCAGACCCCAGAGAGAGCAAAGAGTCCAGCTCCCCGTCATTGTACAGACGAGGAGCCTGAGGCCCCAAGGCGGGAAGGGAATTACCTAATGGTTCACGTGATCCATTAGTGACAGAGCCGAGACCAGAATGGGCTCTCTCTTCTGATCCACTGTTCTTCAGGGAAGTGGGGAGGATATAGCAGAGACTTAAAAGAAGACTGAGAGGCAGGCTAGAGTGTGCTAACAAGAACAGCGGCCCACACAAAGCGCTGGCCACCCACCAGGCTCGGTCTAGGCATGTTTCATACGTTAACTCATTATACCCTCACAAATCAACCCTATAGGGTAGGGACTTTTATTATCCCCATTTAACAGATGGGAAAATTAAGGCAGACAGAGGTTAAGCGCTTTGCCTGAGATCACATAGCTACTAAGCAGCAGCCTGGCTGTAGACTCTGTGTGTTTGCTCTCTACTCTATACTATCTGCCTCTCACAGGCTGATTCCCCGATCCTCGCTCACCCAGCGAAGGACCAAGCTTCTCTATGCTTTGATTTCCTTATTAGCAGACTGAGGGGCATAACAGCGCCTCCTGCTCATTGTAACTGTGACAATGTCCACACAGTACACAGCTCTCAACCCATGTTAGTAAAACAAAGAAAGGAGAATGAGACTGGCGGTCCCTGTTCTTGTGTAGCTCACGTCCTGGTGGTGGCTGGGCAGGGGGCACCGAAAATAAATATATTTTAGTCTGTCAATTCTGAGATGCACATTTTTTCACTCTCTGACATCTCTGAAATGCTCTAAATTCAACACGATGTATGGCAATGGTGACGAAGCACATGATAGAAAATCAGAGATGCAAAAAAAAAAAAAAAAGTTAAGCTCTGCAAGATGGGAGGGTCTTTGATGAGTGAGAGCGCAGGAGTGGGTCTTGCCATTCCTCGATCAGCAGCCAAGTCTGGACCATTCCCCCCCGCCCCTGCCCCCCACTCCCCCGCAGTGGCCTGCCAGAATGAGCATGCCCTCTGGCCCCACTGGTTGGGAGGAGAAAGACTGAGAAGAGTTTCCATGTTTCAGCGGGGAGAGAATAAGGACGTCTTCCACTCCAGCACCTCTGCCTCCCTTTGCTTCTTTCCTCCCTTCCTGTCCACAGGAGGAATTGCTACCCTAGGCCCTTCCACCTGCCGGAGCTGGGAATCCTGCACCTCTGCCTGCCCCATTCTAGTGGGTAGAACCGTGTCTGCCCTGGAGCACTGGCCCTGTGGGTTGCTTTCTACCTGGTCTGGGGCTATGCTAGATGCCTTTACTTTGGGGTCTGTTTTGTTTTCAGTTGTTCAGGTTGGAAAACTTGGAATTTTCTTTAACTCCTCTCTTTCACACCCCTCCAAACTGATCCATCAAGAAATCCTGTTGGCTCTACTTTGCGAATGTATCTCGTATGGGACCACTTCCACTGCTGCTGCCGACCCCAAGCCACTGTCACGTCTCGCTTGAATTATCATAAAAACCTCCTTCCTGGCCTCCAGGCTTCCGCTCCTGCCCCTTCACTCTGGTCTCAACCCAGTAGCGACTCAGATCATGTCACTGCAGCGACTCCCCTTCTGACTCTGAGGGCAAGCCACAGCAGTGGCCCACCGGGCCTGGCTTCACATCACCTTCCTGCCTTCTCCTACTACTCTCCCCCTCGCTCACTATGCTCCAGTCTCATTGGCCTCCTTGTTCTTTAAATAGCCAGGCCCGTCCCTGCCTCAGGGCCTTTTCACTGGCTGTCCCCTCTTCCCAGAAAACTTTCCCCCAATACCCGTAGAGCTCATTCCCTCACCTCTGTCAAGTCTTGGCTCCAGTGTCACCTTCTCAGTGAGGCCTATACTGACCACCTTAATATTGCAACTCGTTTTCCGCCCCCTCACCCTTGCAATTCTGATCCCCTTTATATAGCTGGCTCTATTTTTTTCCCATGGCGTTTAATACTTAGTAGTATGTTGGTTATCGTTTTTCCTCAGTTGAGAGGTAAGTTTCTTGAGGGTGGGGATCATTGTCTATTTTGTTTGCTGATATACCCAAAGACACTAGAATGGTGCCTAGCACGTTGTAGGTGCTCAACAGAGATTTGCAGATGAATGAATCTGCAAATTAGAGAGGGGTAAATGCATGGCAATATATAATTAATCTCTGAGGAGAAGTAGGTGGTTTTAGGAATTTGAGAAGGTGACACTCGAACTGGATCTTTAAGTACACCTGGGAGCTGAGGTAGGTAACTGGCAATTGATCAGCCTGGATAAAAGCATGAAGGTGGTAGAGCTTGGGGGCAGGGCAGGATCTGGAGGGAGGTGTCAACAAGTGATACCTAGTCAGAGAGGATATTAGCTAGGTAAGTTGAGGCCAGACTGTGTAAAACTTTGGATCCAGGCTAAAGGATTTCCTATCACCAGCAGCTACAAAATTTGTAGGGTCCAGTGCACACTGGAAACACAGGGCCCCCTTGGGAAATGGTGGTAGAGCTTGGGGGCAGGGCAGGATCTGGAGGGAGGTGTCAACAAGTGATACCTAGTCAGAGAGGATATTAGCTAGGTAAGTTGAGGCCAGACTGTGCAAAACTTTGGATCCGGGCTAAAGGATTTCCTATCACCAGCAGCTACAAAATTTGTAGGGTCCAGTGCACAATGGAAACACAGGGCCCCCTTGGGAAATACTTTAAGAGAGTGACAGCAGAGCATTAAATCAAGCTCAAGGCCCTTCTAAGAGTAGGGCTTTGTGTGATTGCACAGGTCATAGGCCCATAAAGCCAGCCCTGCCTATCCCACAAGGGGGCCACTGAGAGCTTTCCAGCAGAACAGAGATATAATTGGAATCGGACTTTAGGGAGATTATTCTAGCATGTCTGGTGGGGTAGGTTGGAGGAAGTCTAGGCAGGTAGACCATTTAGGCCTTCTTGTGTGGAGAGAGAGTGAGGAAGAGGAGGGGACAGGTGGGGTAGGGGTGAATCTAAGGGGCAGAGGGCAGGGGTGAGAATTTGAGTGAGTAGAAGCATGGAGGAGACAGAGTTTACTTAGACTGGAGCATGCGCCTGGGAAGACTCCTGAGCGCACCTTCCTTTACTTCTCCAACTACTTCCTTTTTCCATTCTTTCTGGACCCAAGCCTTAGAGATGAGATCCCGCACAGGAGTTGGCAGTGTATCTCCCGCTGGCCAGCAGAGGGCAGATCATTCTCAGGGATTTTTAGGATGAACTGGGGGGTGGAGGGAATGGAATAGACTGTCTTCACCTCTTCCTCTCTTTCATACTCACCTCCTTCTGCAATTCTTCACCAACTTCTTCCCCCATGGCTAGGTGCCCAAATGGAGCTGCGGTGGGGCATGAAGAAGTGTCCTGGAGCCTGGGCATTACTAGGGCTGTAGACGGTACCTGTTGCCTTAGGAAGTACTTTCTACTATCTAGCTATGTATTTCTCTGGTTGACGTGGCCAGGGGGTCTGCTCAAGATGCTCTGTAGCTGGGAGTTGGAAATCAAATGTCAGAGGTCCAACAAGCACTTTGCCTCACAGTCCCCGGGACCTCTCTGCTCCTGTACCTTTGAGAACTTGTTGGTTGAGCCTGGTCTCTGGCTCTTGTGGGAACTCTGGCTTCTGCCCACCTTAAGCTGTTTTTGAGCTCTGGGATGGGGTGGCAAGTTCCAACATGTCCAGAGTAGGATGGATGGGGGTAGCTTGTAGCCACAGGAATCAGACCAGCCTACTGCCTCTCCTTGGTGAGACAATCTAGGAGAGAGTGTAGAGTGGACCCAGGTTGCCACATCGACTTTATCTGTTAGAGTCAGGGGCTCTCCAAAGATGAGAGAGGCCTCAGAGCTCATGAATCCAATTACCTCACTTTATTGATGGGGAAACTGAGGCTCAGGGAAGGAAAGGAACTTCTTCAGGGAGCCATTGTGTCATCCTGAAGAATTCTTATTTTAAGCCAGTGTTTCTTTTCTTTGCCATGAATTTCTTTGTCTTAGAAAGGATAACTGGAATATGAATTAAGATGAGAATGTCTCTCCTGCCTTAGCTTGCAATATTTAAAAAGATAACTGGCATGATTCAGTATTTCATAGTGTGATGTTGTTTTGTGCTATTTTGAACATTGACAGGTGACACACATGTTGATAGACAAGTTGGATGTTAAACGAGATGGATTTTATGAGCTGATAGACAACGAAGGGACACGCAGATGGGAAGTTGCTTTAGAACCAAAGGATGCCAATCGCAGGGACGGCTAACAGCCTTATTTTCTATTTAGTCAAATAATAACACGCACTGGCGATCCACGCTCCCTGTCTAAGAGTTGAAAATACCCGAAAACTGCCGGAAAGAAACGAGGAGTCAGACTCAGTATCACCCGAGGGAATGACCCGGGGCTCGCCAGGCCTCGGGTGTTGCCGGAAATGGCTGACGACCGCTGTCGGCTCAGGGGCGGAGCGGGGGCGTGGCCGGCTCCCTGCACGCGGAGCGGCTTCGGGTGTTTCCGGAAACTGCCGAGAGCCATCTCGAAGTGGGTGGGGAAAGGCCTGTGGGCGTGGCTGGAGTGCCCGGAGTCGCTTCGTGGATTTCCGAAAACAGAGCCGAAGCTTGGTCTTCGGAATCGAGGAGGCGCGCGGGTCTCCAGGGCTTACCTTCTTCGGGTGTTTCCGGAATTCACCCGTAGTCCGTGGCCAGGAGGAGGAGGCGTGCCCCCCTCCCGTTCCTGGCAGCTTCGGATGTTTCCGGCTGCTGCCGGCGGAAAGAGCCGAGGGCCGGCGGTGGTGGCGGCCATGTTGGGAGCAGCAGGTCCAGCGGCGGCTGCCTGTGTGCCGGGCGCGGAGCAGTGCCGCTGAGGGCAGGGGAGGAGCG